AAATAATAAAACCTGTTTTGGCCAGTTCAGGGCCAGTTAAGGGTGATTAACTGGCTGAGATTCGGGCCAGTTATGGCCCATGTGTGACCCTTGTCTATAATCCAGTTCTGGGCCACTTCAGTACCGTCATTCTTTGCGGTTATTTGGGCCGAGGGAAAAGTGATTGTGTGGGCCGGAGCTGGCCAGAAAAAATTTTGCTATGTGGGAAAATGATCATTTTTATCAAGCTTATATATTTTAAGTTCAGTAATTTCACTTAAATGACAATGAAGATTACCTATGAATTGCCATTTAAGTGAAATTACTGAACTTAAATATACAAGCTTGATAAAAATTATCGTTCTAGAAGAAAATTTCAAATGGCTTTTGCATCTGAACTCTTCACATCATTTATATATAAAAAAAGTCAGTTTCTATGCATGGTGACTGAACAAAACAGCTAAAGAAAGATGTCTGATCATTAAAATAGCAAGCCTAGAAAGAAAGCATTTGGATATATACGAAATGCAATTCAGGCATTTTTGAAAAATATAAGTTATCGCTAAAGTTAGCATGAATTGTAATCAAAATGCCAGATTTATTCTTTTTTTCTGTGTGTGTTCCCAATTGAGGTGATCACCAAGTTGACTTCACTCTACATTGGCATTGTGCCCGATGAAGACCTGAGGGTCGAAATGTTGCCCTTTTAATAAATCCATTGGAGCAGTAATTTTCACTGTGTGGACTTCACACTTCTTTATTTGGTATTTTTCAGTCCAGTATTTTTCAGTCCTTTATTTGGTATTTTTTCAGTTATGTACGCAGTTGCTGTCTGGAGGGAATTTGGAATTTTGCCCGAACCCAGAGTACTCCCAACTAACGTTAAAATGTCTGTTTTTAATACAATCTTCTCCCTTTGAATATAATTTATGCAATTTTATTTGATTTATTTGAAATGATTACAAGAACAGTTTCATGTCTATTATTGTACTGTTTAACTGGGGTTGATATGGGATTTCCAAAGGAAAAAGTAATGCAATCCTTTTTAGAGAAAATTGTATAGTAATCTAATTACACTTTTGATAATTACATTGTAAATAATTACAATTAGGTGTAATTATTTTCTATCAAGACCCAAATGTTAATTAATAAGCCTGTAAGTAGTTGACCTGTGTAGGTTGTTTTACATTATTATTGTATTTTGAGAAGTACTCAAGTAAATTCAAGTTAACAAACCATATCTGAAAACGGGTTTGGACCTGAAAGTGGCCATGTTTCATATAAGCCAAACAAAATCTTTCAAATAGTATTTTTACATAAGCAAAAATACAGGGGAATCTTGACATGCAATTAAAATTAATTTTTAGGGATTTTGGTTCTAAATGTTGCATATAGACATTTTGTTGTTTTGCTTCAGTGAGCTGAAGGGTTTATTCCATGTGTTCTCAAAGGACATTGCAGTTCAGCATTCGGTGAGAAAAAAGGTGTAGCTGAAAACATAAGAAAGGCATTGACAAATATTGATGTTTCCCTCCCCTGTGTTCAGATTGTTAGGGCATGAAAGCACAACTCAACTAAAAATAGAGATCAAACAACAGGAGGAAAACATTATTTTTCTTGTTACTTAACCTGCCAGCAAATTTGATATCCTGTAACTAACTTTAGAAATGTTAAACAAGTATGGAATCACTAGTAAATGTTGTGAGAATGATTTACATACTAAGCCATTTAGTTTGAAACAGATAAAATTAAAGTTTTCTTAAAACATGCTGCTTATGGGCTAGATCATTGTTTTTAGGGCTGCTAAGACGATACTATTTTTGGAAAATTCTTAACATAACCACATACACATGCTGATTGACTCATGCGTTTCATTTGAATATCATTAAACTGTTCAAATATCGGGCACTCTATGTGTATCATGGCTCAGCTCAGTGGCATCTGTGAAACAGAAGTCCAACTTCTCATGCATCTCAGGGAGATCTCATTAAGATCAAAAACCTCTTTGCAATGTTATGATGAGCTCCATCCATCATCAAATCAAACAGAAACAGCTGCTTTAAGGTTTCATGTCTTAATTCATGCAGAAGGCTCCACCAACAGTATAATCTGTGTCTTGTTAAAAAGAATGAAATGTGGAGATATAGGATCGGAGATTGTGGGGGATGGTTGTTCCGGTAAAAACAGGGAAAGAGGCAGTCTGGCTGTGTTGCTAATGGATCTCTGGGACACTGTTGAACTTGTTTCACAGAGAGAAACGTTATGAAGGCTATTTAACTGTAGCGTTTAGACCCAGTAGTCACCAGGTGTCCTGCAATGTCCCTCACTCTCTCCACTCGCTCCTTTGGGCCATTTGGTTTAGCGAACGGAGGGCTGGCGGTATCTGCGTCACAATATGAGGTGCTTAATGCAGCCTAAACTCCTCTTTTTTCGCAGATTATGTGCATATCTATAACAACTACCCCTTCTTGGCATTTAATATGAATCATTTGATAAATCACAATAAATGGTGTTGATTTAATAAAAATGCTTCAGAAATCCATTTTGATACCCACATGTGTTTGTAGTCATCTTGTAATGTTCGCCATGATATGAGACACACTATAAGATGAGGTGAAAATTTGCAATGGGATTTGGGGATGGGACCCTAAAAGCTGTCCAGAAATGATCTGAAATGTTCTGTCACCTCCAGTGTTCTTCTGATCCATGTGTCTTATTACCTCATGGGAAAATAGAGAAGGTCTGATAATACAGCTCTCCTCCTGCTGTATCTACTGAAGGAAGGCACTGATCTCTTTATTTTGATCACCTCCCCACTGGCACTTGCACAATGATTGATCTTTTTTTTTTTGAGCTGGTGTGTGGTAACGAGAAGCAGCTATCATTTACAAGCTTAACTGAATGTGATCATTTAAATGAGTGTTCAACAGTTTTTGTTCATGTAAACGGCTTACTAACGGATAATTAACAGAGCTTTTTATTATTCTTTGCTCCCTCTGCAGTTACAATGCTGCCTGGTACCAGGCCCCTGCTGCTGTGTGTGCTGTGTCATGTGACCACCACATGGGCATTCGCCCGCATGTCTGACGCCGTGGAGCTGCGGTCCGCCTTCTCTGTGGCACGTACCAGCAGCATGGAGGGAGGGCCGAAGATGGTCATCACCTTTGACAAGGTGTACGTCAACATTGGTGGCGATTTCGATCAAAGGCCGGCTTGTTCCGCTGCAGGATTCCGGGCGCATACTATTTTTCTTTCACAGTGGGGAAGTTCCCACGGCGAGACCTGTCGGTCATGCTGATGAAGAACCGCAATGAGGTCCAGGCGATCGTGTACGACGAGAAACGCCGGAGAAGAGCGGAAAGTGCAGAGCCAGAGCGCCATGCTGCAGCTTGATTTCGGAGACACTGTCTGGCTTCGCCTTCACGGAGACCCTCGCTACGCTATCTACAGCAACACTGGTCATTACACCACCTTCAACGGTTACCTGATCTACCCTGATGTGTATGGCTACCAAGAGCCCACTCACAAAGTCCATGACAGTGACCGTCAACCACCGGAAATCAGTGATTACTCACTGTCTGAGCATGAAAATACAATTACCAAAGACACTGGTGTGAGTATGAAAGAAGAGAGAAGGGGGGATGACGAGATAAAAGAGGAGGATGGTAGAATTGGAGAGGAGGAAGACGACGACCAGAGGTCTGCATTCTCGGTGGGCCGCACTCAGAGTATTGTGGGAGTGGATCAAGGACACCCTGAGCACCAGCCCATCATCTTTGACACTGAGTTTGTCAACATCGGCAATGACTTCAACTTAAGCTCTGGTGTATTCAAATGCAGTGTACCAGGAGCCTATTACTTCTCCTTCAATGCTGGCAAGCTGCCCCATAAGACCCTGTCAGTGAAGCTGATGAAGAACCATTTGGAGGTACAGACCATGATCTACGATGACAGCGACACTGAGAAGGCCCTGCAGAGCCAGAGTCTGATGTTGTCACTGCAGGATGGAGACACTGTCTGGCTCTACAGCCACCAGAGGGATGGATTTGGTGCTTACAGCAATCACGCCAAGTATATCACTTTCACTGGCTTCCTGGTGTATCCCGAGCTCCACCAAAGGTCTCCTCCGCAGCAGCAGAAACAGGAGAAGGCATTGTAGGCCAGTCAAGGAGCCAGTCTATCGGCGGGTCTTTAGGATGGGTACGATTTTGGAGGAGCGTCTGTCATCACTCTTGTGGTTTGCTTATTCAGTTTCCTTATTACAAAATCTGTCAAGCTCTTGTTTTTATTCTGTTTATCTACTTTATGAAGATTACACCTATTACACATTGTTTAAACAAGGCCTCTACTCAGCATCCCTAAAGTTAGCATGAAACGGAAATTGTGATCTTCTATTGTTCTCTATTGTTGATCGGAATTGATTGGAACGGTGGATTGTTGTTTGCAAATCTCATGTGAGTGACAGGTTGCTGGATTATTTCCCTGCCAGAGCGCTGGAGCGTACATTATCAGAGATGTTATTGGGAGGGGGTGTTAATGTTCTTGGTGAATTATTATTAGGACACATACATTTTAAGAAAAAAAAATATTAGCTCAGAGAAATCACATGATAAAGACTGCAACATTCAAAAAAAAAAATTGTCAATTTTGATTTCATGGTGACTTTAAGGCCTTGAATGCGGAGTTCTTACAACAATATGATAATAAATCGAACATGTCACTTAAAGGGATACTCCACTTTTTTTGGAAAATAGGCTCATTTTACAACTCCCCCAGTTAAACAGTGAGTTTTACCGTTTTCGAATTCATCCATCCGATTTTCAATATTTAAAGAATATCAATAACCAGACAGTTTCTGGTCTCATTGACTTCCATAGTAGGAAAAAATATACTATGGAAGTCAATGAGACCAGAAACTGTCTGTTACTGATATTCTTCTAAATATAAAAAAAAATAATAATATGGATTAAAACGGTAAAACTCGACTGTTTAACTCTCCGGGGAGTTGTAAAATGAGCCTATTTCCAAAAAAAGTAATCCCTTTAAATTAATATCAATTATAAAATTAAAAAAAGTAGGCCTATAGTTAGAATTAGAAAACAAAAAAACATTCGAATAAAAATAAATATAAAACAATCTGCAATTCAAGCACCTATCTCTGCAGAGGCGATTCATTATCTCCAACTAAAAACTGTGTTTCATACTCTCTAAAACTGAACAATTATTAAATGCATGTATTTTTCAAATAATATAGTGTTGTCTTTGAAGCTTTTGCACGAAAGATTTGCACGAGAGCTCTATCTTCTGCTTTTTCATTAACTATTTCCAGTGTAAAATCAGTGATCATGACACACAAACACACAAAAACAGGTAAATCATAATAATTTATTTAAGTCAATAATAGGTCCGGTTTTGGAACAGCACTTCACTACACATTTAAACTGAGTATCGCGTCTGTAAATTCACTGCATATGGCCAGAAACTGCTGAATGCAGCTTCACAGCTTCTAAAAGTATAAAGAATTTTATTCACTGCCAAATACATTTACTGTACAACAAACTGATGCTAATGATTTTGGAAAATTGTTCAACAAATTTTGCTGTTTATATTTTGGGGAAGCTTTTTTTTAATCAAAGATACTAATCAGTTTATATAATTCTTCTTGATTTGCCATAAAGATTTATTTAGGTTACAAAGTATATGTACGAAGTGCACAATTCCAAAATGTAAATACTTTTGTGTTTTTTATCCATTTCTATATAAGTGAATGTTTGCATTTCTAATTCTGTGCCTGGTCTTATGTACTTTTCTGTATGGGTTTAATCCAGCAAATAAACTCTGAAAGAATGCTGGATAAGCTTTTCAGTGTTTGTGCAGTATGGGCTACTTTGTTAAGTACTGTAACGGTGGTTTCAGTCTACACTGGATTCTTATTGTGGAAGAAGCCAGTCCTCAGAAGCAAGCCAAATAAAAACTCTGAATGTAAACTCTTTTGTCTTGCATTTTTTAGTAGTGTCAATGTTTAACATCTACAGTGTTGTCACTCCTACCAATTATATCTTACTCAGTACAAGGACTTTTCAATGATTATTAAATAAAGTGTTTGATATTCAAATATCCTGAAAATTTGTCAAATTTGAATCAAATAGATATTTTAAAATCCCATCTGAAATCACATATTATATTTTAACAATGTATACCAGTTGAGATATTTCATTATCTTAAGCAAATAACAAAGTGCACTTTTCCAATGCACTTGAGCTTGATTTCACCATGAATGTCACAGCCTTTGTGAGGTCTCAGAACTAAAATAGCAGATCAGATTAGGATCAAGAGGATCAAAGAGATGCCTGGGGAAGTTTAAGATGAATTTGTCTGATTAAAGAGATAAAAAGTCTGAAAGTAAAGCATCGCGTTTGGTGCAAAGCCATATATAGCAACACCCAGATAATACCTTTTGTTTCATTGTGGTGTTGGAATAACATACAGAAAAAACAATGAAGGAATGGCTTGGGTGAAAAGAGGAGTATTATAGAATGACCCTGTCAGATTTGACGGAATAAAAATTGTCATTTTCCTCTCTAATTTGGCGAAACTTAGCAAAAATGTATTTAGCAAAAGTGTACAATGCTCCAAAAGAAACACTAGACTGGAATTGCTGTAATTGGAAATAAGTCTTTCATCCTGACTGAAGAACAGGTGAAACTCGAAAAATTAGAATATCGTGCAAAAGTTCATTTATTTCAGTAATTCTACTTAAAAGGTGAAACTAATATATTATAGAGACTAATTACATGCAAAGTGAGATATTTCAAGCCTTTATTTGTTATAATTTTGATGATTATGGCTTACAGCTTATGAAAACCCTGCACAAATTAAAAATTAGAATATTGTGGAAAGGTTTTCATAAGCTGTAAGCCATGATCATCAAAATTATAACAAATAAAGACTTGAAATATCTCACTTTTTCATTGGTGGTGTTGGCATGATGTTTGTCCTTCTGTAAAGTTCTCCCATTTCTTTATATTATCATGGAGCTCAACCAGAGTGACCATCATCAGCTTCCCGTCTCCGCACACTCGCCTGGTTACTTCCTAACCGCAGCAATAAGGGGGGAGTACTCTGGGTTCCAGCCCAATATCCTAGCTCGGGCCCTCTCCCCAGACAGCGTGACAAATAAGCTTACCTTTTATTCTCTCTAACTTTTTTGCCAGTGTGAACTAGTAAATTATAAAAAAAAAAAAAAATTAAATCAAAGGAGTTTGAATATTTCCACATGCCACTGAACAGTAAAACACATAACAGTAATCATCAGTATTACAAAGTAAATTATATTACAGAAATTACACAAAGCAAACCCCACTCATGAGGGAATGAGAGAACACACTAGCTGCCGAATAGCTGACGTGCCACAAATTGTAATGAGATTGGTAAATAAAAGCCACAGATAATTATGGAGGAGAGATTTTTATACCTATAATTTTGCACCGTTCTATGACATTCCTGAACGGCAATTAAACAATTTTGTGGCTAAAACTCATAATGTTGCAGATAAAAATCTTTTTGGAAATAACCTGTCAGTATGACTTATTGTTATTTTTTGTAAAGGTAACTGAGGTATATTAAACCTTGAAGGCATTTGGCTATGCACACATTTAACTGCTGAATTATAAAAATAAGAGAATGTTTATCAGACGTCATTGAACTTCAGAATTAGCATTCAAGCATTATTCATATACACACTAAAGTTTTGAGTAGAATACCTGAGAGAAATTGTCTAGCAAAAGGCATTTTTTTCATGCATTATCTTTGTCACTTCTCTCAATTTAACAAGTAAAGAATGTTATGACATAGCATGACTTAACAAAACTCTTAAAATTGTAGAATATAAATCACATAATCCTGATAATTCAGAGATCTGAAAAGAGCTTATTTTCATGCGTGTAAGTCTGTTGTGTAAAAACACACAGATACAAATATTAAACAAATATTAACAAATTTAACCAGTGTTATTACAAAAATCATTTATAAATATAAAATGACATGCAGAAACAGGAGTCATTTCATAGTTTTATTTAGATGTAGCACAGGGTCTTATTTACATAAATATGTTCTGATCATTACAGCTCTACAGGGTTACTTTGCAGGTTTGTCCCCAGACTCCAGCTTGGGTGCATCTTTGGGCTCCCTGTATGCGGGGAACGCTTCCCATGGACTGTTCAAGTCAAACTTACGGAACTCCTGAGCGAGCTCCACAGGTTCAGCCACAACCCGCTTCACCTCATCGTCATAACGCACCTGGAGAAAATAGAAGAAAACAACTCAACATAAATGAAGCCACACCACTTTACAGGAATGTTTAAAATAAATTAAAATTACATAATTGCTCTACATACATGGTTTCAAAGTTTGAGGTTACTCTTTTTTGTCACTTATGCTCACCAAGGCTCCATTCATTTGATCAGAAATACATTCAAAACTTTAATATTGTGAAACATGATGATTTTAAATATGTTTTGTATTTTATTGTACTTTAAAAATGTAATTTACTTCTGCGATGCAACGCTGAATTTTCAGCATCATTACTCCAGTCTTCAGTGTCACATGATCCTTTAGAAATCATTCTAATATGTAGATTTGCTGCTCAAGAAACATTTATTCTTCTTATTATTATTAATAATGAATGAAAAATCAATGTTTTGATGCTTAATATTTTTGTGGAATTCGTGATTTGAAATGATTATTTGGTGAATAGAAAGTTCAAAAGAACATCATTTATTTGACACAGAAATATTTTGTACCATTATACATGTTCTTACTTTCACTTTTGCATCCCTGCTTAATGATTTCTTTGAAAAAAAAACTCTGTCAGACACCAACCTATTAAAAGGTTGTTTAACAATGAATTGTACATTTACCTCCACATATCCGACAAAGGAAAGTCTTTCCTGAACGGATGACCTTCAAATCCATAATCTGTCAAGATACGTCTCAGATCTGGATGGTTTGCGAAGAAAACTCCATACATGTCCCAAATCTGTAACGAAACATTCATTTCAGAGTGAAGCCAAACTGTCTCTAAAGTAAAAAAAAAAACATACTTAACATCTGCATGCAAATACAGCTATGATACATGATCTAATGGACCATTAGAACACCCTCAACCCTCCCTCAGTCAGTCTGCAGTGTCATAGCATGAGGGAAGCAGCTCAGGGGCTCCACTGCATGAACACTACAGATTGGTGTGTCTGAGCATATGCTACAATCTATTTTGAAAAGTGAAATATACAAGTGTCAAAACTTGTTCATGAAACGTCAGCTGATGACAGAGTCTCGCACATACCTCTCTCTCATACCAGTTAGCAGCCTGGTGTACAGACACAGAGGAGTCAAGAGGACTCAGCTCGTCAGTGTAAGTCTTCACTCGGATTCGAGAGTTATAGCGCAGGGACAGCAGATTATACACAATCTGAAAAGGAAAAATGTAGCTCAATCATTCGCAGAACGGTTTCAGAAAAAGGATTTGTATTTCAAATGCCAATAACTTTCACCATCCAGGCTCCCAAAGTATGCATATTATGTGCAGTCCTTTGTGTATTTAAAAAAAATCAAGTCTATTAAAATAATCTAACTAGCTAAAAACACAAAATCAAGATAATATTTTATAGACATTTCATAGATGAGACGAAGCATGCTCACCTCAAAGCGAAAGTGCCTTGTAGGGACATCCACAGCTGTCAGGTCAGTCATGTTGTTGAACTGAGCATTTGTGTGGTCTTTCAAGAAGGTGAGAACAGGTATGATCCCTTCTGGATGAACCATTACCTCCAGCTCATTAAAGCAGGTCACCTAGGATTCAAACAAAAGGCTGTAGATAGAGCAATTTTTGAGGAATTGCAGAGTGCAACTAATCACTAATCGGTCTTACCTGAACTTGTTGCACATATTTGGGGAGAATCTCTGCAATGTATTCGCCAAACTCTGAAAGCTGAGTGTGGGTGACTGGATCCTTGGGCCTTACGGTAGCTAATGCAAAACAAAACAAAGACATTTGGTCTTACTTTTATAAATGTCTTTATGTACTAAGGTTTAAATAATTCATTTGACACAATGCACTTATTGTGTAGATACATTTTTCACACTTTACTAATATCTAATATATATATATATATATATATATATATATATATATATATATAATATATATATATATATATATATATATATATATATACCATCTTAAAATAATTGCTGTATAATTACACTGTTGACCCTCCTTTACACCTGTCCCTGATCTTAACCCTATCTCACCTCAAGTGTTTTGCAATACAAAATGAACACCATATTATGTACCAACACATTTTTTACACATTTTTAAGTAACGTAAGTAGTTAAAGACATCTAATATACAGCAAGACGCAACGTTAAAAACAGACTTCCAAAAACCTACTCACGTCTGGTTTCAGTTGTCGTTGTTCTTGTCTGGACAATTGCAGCGCTCTGTCTAGCAACTACGAGAGAAATTGAGAGAAATCAATGCATTACAATATAGAGCCATTTCGCGCAAGGTCAGGTCAAGACTTTAAAATAAACCAAATTGGTAGTTTTTGACAGACGGATCGGTGTCTGATGAAATTCAAAACAGATTAAATACATCCCTTATATTTCCAAATAACTCAAAAATTCTTCTCCCTGGAAGCGTGATATGAGAATAAAACAATCTGTATTGCATAATTCAGAGTATAACTGTAAATCAGTCGACACTGTCATCAACGTTCTGTGTGTTTCTAAAGGTCAACAGCGAAGAAATGCCTCAAACACAGGAGAGCTTTTTTGGGTCCTGCACAGTGACAATAATGGTTAAATGAGAAAATAATTCAACTTAAACACGTCTGTGATGTTCTTGTTAATTTCTTACCGTTCAGACTTTTTCCAAAACCGCTGCGGACAAATCTAACCAAGGAGGCCGCCATCTTTACTCCCTCACTGTCCTTCCTCCTCGCGGGATTTGCTGATGCTGGAGTTACGGGTGCGTTCTGCAGTGCGCTGTTGCCACCTTCAGGCGCTACAATCGAGGCATTAAAGCGATAGTTCGCCCCAAAATTAAAATTTTGTCATTACTTACTCTCCCTCAAGTTGTCCCAAACCTGCATTTGTTTCTTTCTTCTACAAAAGAAAATATTATGATGAATGAACTTATGAAGATTGTTGGTAACGACAGCTGTCGGCACCCTTGACTTCGATAGTATTTTTTGGTCACTTTTCAATAAGGTTCATTGGTTAACATTAGTTAATGTATTAACTAACATGGACTAATAATGAGTAATTCATTTTTTACAGTATTTGTTCATCTTTGTTAACTAACATGAAGTAATAATGGGTAATACATTTGTTACAGTATTTGTTCATCTTTGGTAATGTTAGTTAATAAAAATACAGCTGTTCATTGTTTGTTCCTATTAGTTCACGGTGCATTAATGCATTAACTAATGTTAACAAGATTTAAATAAAATACTAGTAAATGTTGAAATGAACATTAACAAAGATCAATAAATGCTGTATATGTGCAGTTCATATTAACTAATGTAGTTAAATAATGTTAACTATAACCTTACTGTAAAGTCTTACCATTTTTTTTCCCTATGTCAATGGGTGCAGTCAACTGTCTTGTTATCTTCTTTAAATATCTTGTTTTGTGTTCAATAATTGAACCTTTAGACAAAATATACACACTGCAAAAAATGAAATCTTGCCGAGTTAAAAAATCTTAAAATAAGGCAAGAATTCTTCTTTTTTTTCTTCTAAGATAAATTAACTAGCCTAGAACTAAAAGCCAAAGATTATTTTGCTTGTTTTGAGAAAATTTTACTTAAATTTTCTTACTTAGAAAAAAAATGCCAATTTTGGTGATTTCTTTCATTTAATTAAGTATCTTTTTAAAGTGAATGGTATATTTTGACACACTCCAATGTGCCCAATTCCAATTTCAAGACATATGTTCTTATTTTAAGAGCACAAGGTTTCTTATTTTTAGAAAACAACGTTAGCACATTCAGACACAAATATAATTTTTTTTTAAATTGTTTCCAACTTTACATTGAATGAATGCATGAGGCTTTTAGCGCTTTCATATGAACTACTGTACACCCAAAGTGCTTTGCAATCATGTCAGGGGATCTCTCCTCAACCACCACCAGTGTTCATCATCTACTGGGATGATGCGACGACAGCCACAGCACCAGTGTGCTCACCACACACTATAGTGGAGAGGAGAGAGAGAGAGTGATAAAGCCAATTCAGTGAATTAAACATTATTTAGTTTGGACCATAACATTTTTGTTCAGTGCTGACAACTGTCAATATCTTGTACATCAAGCAGTAACTTAATTTTAAAAGATTTTTCCCCCCAAAATGAAAATTTCCTGATAATTTACTCACACCACTGCCATCCAAGATGTTCATGTCTTTCTTTCTTCAGTGGAAAGGAAATTAACTTTTTTAAGGAAAACATTTTAGGATTTTTCTACACACAATGGACTTGAATGGCAACCAAAATGTTGAATCAAATCTACCAATCAAATCTAATTAACATCCACTGAAAATTTCCACAGAAAAGACACACATCTTGGATGGCATTTTGGGTAAATTGAGTAAATTATCAGGAAATTTTCATTTTTAAGTTAATTGGGGAAAAAGTAGTGAAGTATTGAAAAAGTTAGCAAAGGTCTTTTGATCACTAATTGTTGACAGCAGTTGTTTTCATCAGGTTCTTATAGACGGCAGTTGCTTAAATTACAATAATTTAAAATAATTGCTCTCTTTATTTTATATATATATATTTATACTTTATTTTATTATTTTATTCAATTTCTCAGTGATGTATGTGTAACCTTGATGTATGTGTTAACTTTACTCAGAAATAAAAAAATACATCATTTTTACTAGGTTTTACAAGCAAGTAACAATAAAGGACGCAATGACGTTACTAAACCAGTGAGAGGCAGCACTGCATTAAAGCGTGCCTAATGCGCAGGAAAAAAAACAAAGAAGAAGAAGCGGCACTCGTGACGTGAGAGCATTCTCGATAGGCGCCAATTTTGCAGATGTGGAAACTAACGTTCGTTGACAGACTGACTACATTTGTATCTGGAGCCTCGCTACGTTTTTGGAGTAAGTTAATAATAAGGTGAGTAATCAAATCAAGCTTGCGACTTTTGTGTGAATGATTTTTTTTTACTGTATGTCGATAAATTTTACTGGTCTGCAACTAATGTGGACCAACTAATTGTGATATTAGGAGCTTGAAGAATATGCCTTGGTGTGGCCTGTTTTTTTCTGGTAGCTAAGTTACCCTAACAGCTCCTGAATGCCTAAAAAACGATTTATTTGTCCCAAATGTAAGAATTATGGTTTCCTATTTTACCACTTTCACTGATGCATTCTCCTCTGTTGGCATAGGTTTGTAAATTATTAAGGTTAACGTTATAAATCTGGTGAAATGGCGCACATAACGTTACCGTTAACGTGCAGCTTATGCACAGATGATGTTTGTGATAAGTTTTGACAGTATTTGTGATTTCACAACAGCATTATACTCTATAATTATACTTCATACTTGATTTTTAAATAAAGTAAATTCAGAATGTGAAGCATGCAATGTAAAAGTGATTTTATTTTCTCAAACTCAACTGCTTTATCATTGCTGATAAAATGAGCCATTTTTTAACAATATGAAAAACTTAATGTTAAGTGATGTTATCCCTACTGATGTTATCTTAGTGGAACCTCTCATTGCATCAAAGATAGAGCAGACCTTCTCAATGCGAAGACATGAGATTGTGGGCAGATGGAGCAGTGGAGCTCTTTTTACAGAGAGACAAGTAAGTTAAGTACTTATGCATATCCCGTTTTCCACAATGAGAAATCACATTCTGTTTAGGTTTGCTTTAGAATTGGCCTGTAGGCCTGACCATGCATTGAACACTGTCCACACTGTCCCATGCCTTGTGTGTGTGTGTGTGTGTGCCTGTGTTGTAGGTGTTTGCAGAGTTTGACAGGATAGTCACCACAGATCTGCAGACAGCAGAGTAACTTTAATGGTGCTGTGGATCTCTACACACCACGCTTTGTCACAATCTTCAAGTCTTCAAGAAGCATTGGAGAGAAATTGGATGGGCTTATGCAGCAAATTAATACAGAGGTGAGTTTACTGCCGCCTTCATTTTTTTATTATTATTCTGAGTTGATCATGGTTTTGCTTACAATCTATCTAGCTGTTTACTTAAGTGTTGTGTGGTTTTGTTGATAAACCCTTTAACTGTAATCTTAATAGTCAGTTCTCCACTTAAAGGAACACTCTGACTTTTTGGGACTTTAGCCTATTCACCTTACCCCCCAGAGTAAAGTCCATACATACCTTTTTCATCTCCGTGCGTGCTATAAGTCTGTTTGACGCACCCACCGCTAGCCTAGCTTAGCACAAAGACTGGATGTGAATGGTTGCAGCTTTCATACTAATCCAAATGAGTGACAAAATAACGCAAACGTTTTCCTATTTACATGTTGTGGTTTGTATAGTCACAGAGTGTGCAAATATCAAGGCCATATGAGACACAGACATCTTTTAACCGTATAAATACTATATTTTCTGAAGGGGAAGCACTGCTACTTGGGCAGAGTGATAACAATCACCTGAGACGCACCGTGACGAGGAGCAGAGAGTTCGCTTCGCTCAGCGTTGGAATAAAGAGTCAGCAATTACTAACGTTAGATAGAAAAGCATAGTTTATCATGGGTGTTTGCTTTATTGTATGAGCTGTGACAATAAACAAGGGAGACCAGGTAATACAGTACCATGTTTCATTGATTTCCAACCAAAAACGCACCCAGATTTATAAATATCATGAATAAATAATTATTATTACAGGAATCAATATATTTTAAATGCAATTTATTAGCTGAACCAAATGTATTCAACAGTAGCCTATATAATATACAGTATTGCATTACTATAGGATAGAATAAGGGGAAAGTAATAGCACAAATTGTTTTTGCACAATGAACTCACAGCCTATCCTACCCTTTTGCACGCTCAAGTTCGTTATTTCCATGGTTATTTCAAATTTAGGCTACTAGGCGCGCCGCGCGCAGGGTGCAAGTTCAACGCGCTCGTTTTTTTCCCCCAAGCGCGTCCGCACCGCATCAAGATAAAAACATATTCATACCCTATCATATAATAGTGTCACTAACGTTACATTAGATCTGGCTAAAGGCACTGTTACAGTAGGTCATCTAAAAACATAACGGAACACTTACCTCAGCCGCAGGTGATCCACTTGTCCTGTCTGTGCTATCGATGGGATGGCCGTATCCTTCAGCACATTATGGTCCGTGTGGCAAATTCCATTTTTTCAAAATAGTCGTCCTCATTGAAATGTACCGAGCAAACATAATGTCCCTTGATAATCTTAGGTGTGTTTGGATAAATATCCAGAGTAAGTTAGCCATTTCTTCATCCAGTCAGCGTTTTTAGTTGGAATTCTGTGAAACATGGTTACCTCCCCTGTTTACAGTCGCAGCTATTTACAATAGAGCGAAAACCCATGACTCTAAACTACGCTTTTACTATTTATAAATTGCTGACTCTATTACCCAAACACCGAGCGAACTCTCCGCTCCTCACCACGGCGTGTCTCCGGTGATGCGGTTATTACGCCGTCAAAGTCACAAAACTGAAGACTAGAGGAGACCGGGCTTTCTCTAGTGCCGCTCCTAGACTCTGGAACAGCCTTTTCCCAGAAATCAGAGCTGCACCAACCCTACACATCTTTAAAGTGAGATTAAAGACGTTTTTATTTGACCTGTCATATGCAAGCTAAATGTGGAAGCAATTGCCCTGTGGCTGTTTGTATTTTAATTTTTATTTTTCCCTCTGTACAGCACTTTGGTCAACGGAAGTTGTGTTTATCTGTGCTCTATAAATAAATTGAAATTGAAAATTGAAAGTAGCAGTGCTTCGCCTTAAGAGAATAGTTCCCAGGTTTTATACGGTTAAAAGATGTCTGTGTCTCATTTGACTATGTTATTTGTACATTATGTGACTATACAAACCACAAATGTAAATAGGAAAACGTTTGCGTTATTTTGCCACTCATTTGGATCAGTATGAAAGCTGCAACCAGTCACATCGAGTCTTTGTGCTAAGCTAGGCTAGCGGTGGGTGCGTCAAACAGACTTATAGCACGCACGGAGATGAAATAGGTATGTATGGACTTATCTAACTCTGGGGGGTAAGGTGAATAGGCTAAAGTCCCAAAAAGTCGGAGTGTTCCTTTAAAGGGATAGTCCAATTTTTTTTTGAAATAGGCTCATTTTACAACTCACCCAGAGTTAAACAGTTGAGTTTCACCGTTTTCGAATGTAACTCTGGGGGAGTTGTAAAATAAGCATATTTCCAAAAAAAGTGGAGTATCCCTCAGATTCCGCCTGTATTCTGCGCACAGTGTTTCTCCTGTTTGTCAGTGTTGTTTCATCTGCCTTTAAATTGGTTTAAATAACTGAGACGTGTGTTCTCCACTGAATTCAAGCGCTTCTCACTGGATCTCGTGAGCGAGACGATCAGAGTAAACGCCTCTTCTCTAGTGAACTTGCGCTGCCATTTGGACTTTGAGCTGAGTGGACCAATGATGCGTGTGGCGCGCGGTTCAAATGGGTTTTGTTCAGCTTTTGGTGCACAAACATTAATTAAACTCTTGATATCGTTTTATCAAGAAAAAATATTATGATAATTATCGTTTTATCGCCCAGCCCTGCTTAAAGAAGAGTAAATCATGGGCTTAATTTCATTTTTGGGTAAACTATCCCATTAAGAGTCGTAATAAAAAGAAAAAAAAAAGATAAATGATATAAACTAATACATGGATTAAAGGTGCATTGCGCAACTTTTCATGTTAAAAATAGCCGTTTTCTAACCCATACATGCTTAAACAATCGCCTGATGGGCTGAATGAGCCCTTCTTTGATCACTGCGATCGCCTCTATAACCCTGTACAGTGAAATATATAAGAGGGATTCGGGCTCGAATCTGAGACTGGGCGTGACGTCATGCGCGTTCACGCTCGCCTGGCTGTGTCTGGCAGGTTCGTGTAGCTATTCGCCGCCGTTCTCCGTATCAGAGAAGACAACTCGAGCGACACAACTCTAGTCAGCTTTCCACAAAAGTAGACGATGGATTCAAAGGGGCTGTTTACACCTGGTCACTTCATGTGTCTTCTGTGATCGGATAGCTATTCGATCGTGAAAAGACCAGGGTGTAAATGCCCTCCGAAACGCATTCGAGACGGATTTGAATTCGATCGCTCAAACCACTTGAGGACGTGGTCTGTGCCGTATTCCAGACGAAACTGGACAAGTGTAAATGCATCTGGTTGTTGAAACCAAGCTATATGTCATGATATTTTAGTCATATATGATGACGCGCATCACCTGAGCAGCTGAGCTGAGCCCCTTCATCAAGCGCCGCAATCTATCGCAAATCAAAGTGAATTAGTGAAAGTAAGTCGCAGACGCTTAACACTACCATCTTCATTAAAAATAAAGAAATGAAATGATCTGAATAAGAGGGGGGTCTGGGGGTTCCCCCCCAGAAGATTTTGAAATTAGTAGATGTGATTTCCTGCATTCTGGTGCATTTTAGGCCTTAGGCCATGCCCTTACCTATACCAATAAAATAACTTAAACCAGTCAATACCAATGGTCAAATAATACAATAATAATAATAACAGTTTGACAGTTAATGATAATGAACAAGTTGCATGTTTATTATGCTCTGTGTGCTGACAGAAAAAGTACAAACGCATAATATTGATAAATTATAATATAATAATAATTATAATACCTATAGGTAATACAAAAAAATAATAGGTAATACAACAATCTAGTTTAATCAACCCCCAGCTGTAGACTACATATTTTTGACAAATTGACAATTGGATAATGGATAACAATGTGTTGATACTAGAGAAAGAGAGAGAGAAAAGGCTCTGAAAGAGAGGTTGGGACAACATTCTTGATTGTAACACCCAAGTATGAGAAGAAAGTTGATTTTAACTAGTATGAAACACAGTAATCTATCTCAGAACTTAAAAACATCAAAAACAAAGCAAACACACAGGTATTAATATTCCTATAACTATTTTAACTCTTTCCCCGCCAAACACGGAATTTTCCGTGTTTAATGAAAAAACGCATCTGCGCCAAACACGGAATTTTCCGGGTATCCGTGTTTTAGGTGGTATACGGTAAGGAAGACCCGCGCGCATGTCCTGAATGATTGCGCAACTCTTTGATCAGAGAAACAGATTGCAATCGTCTCGAACAGTGGAGTAGTGAGAATGTATCAGACAGACAATGCAGAGGTATATGGCTGAAGTACTGGAGGTTAATGGACTCGGAGTCCGATCACTCTTTATTTGATAATTCTGAATCTGATCGGGACGAAGTAGTCAGTGAGAGAGATGCACATGTTCATGCTAGCCATGGACGTGCCGCAGATAGATCGTATAATATTATGACACTATAATATGTATGTCAGTATGTGTGTGTGCAGGCATTTATGTGTGGCTGTCTAAATATGAAGGTGTAATTGTCAAATTATTTCTCTCTTTGTGCACATTTACCACATTGTAATATGTATTTGTGTGTGTGTGTGTGTGTCTAGGCCTGTTTATTGTAATTCCAATTATTCATTATTCACAGGTAGAACACAGAGAGGCAGAGGCAGAAGTTTTATTGCAAAAGTTACATTTCCCTTACATCCTGGGAAATTTGATATATTTTACATTTATTTTATGTTTTTAATTTATTTTGGAAAGTTTTATATATGAAGGAAACAACATCTGAATGTATTCTGCTTTTAAATGCACTTGTTTGATAAAAACACCTTTTTCTCAGTTTTTTGTCCAAAATGTTGTGTTTTTGACAAAACCTACCTCTGTTCAAGAGGCAATAAAAAAAGAACAGATGAAGATAAAATAAAAACGTTTTTTTTGCCTAAAAGCAGAGGCTCAGATCTTTATTTTTATATATATCATCTTCATATATTCATGGAAGAAAATATTCAGCGGGGGCATTCAAATTTAGCGAAAATCGTCAAAAACCCTGGCGGTGGCTGGCAACTTTTTTTTAAAACGCTGGCGGGGAAAGAGTTAATATCAAATGTGTGTGAAACAGTGTTTATGTGTGTGTGAGTGAGTGAGTGAGTGAGTGAGTGAGTGAGTGACAGAGCGACTAACTTTACATTATTTCCACTCGACGTCACTGGCGCTGCCATTCTTCTCTCATCTGAGGTAAAAAAAAATGTCCCGTGGTGCGCGTGCACAGTGCACTCCCCTAATCTGATACTGTGGGCGATATTTTCAGCGCCCCCAAACCATAAAATTTGACGGCGCTGATTGGCGAAATATAAACTTTTTTGCATAGCAACCGGGGAACCATTGGCTTAAATTCCAGCACTGTGGGGCTGAGCGAACTGGCGCCCTGACAAGACAGCCTATTGGCTATACTACTACACCAACATAATAAAAGTAACGAAAGTGAATGCAAATATCATTCTGGTGAGTTCAAAACACTTTTCAAAGTAAAACCATTATTAGCATATAATTAACAAAGATTATTTTTCAAAATGATAAATTATAATATATATATTAAAAAAATAGACAGACAGGTCGGAGGGAGGGCGGCGCCCCAGCGCCCTCTATGGGCGAGCCGCCCCTGATCTTACCAGTTCTGTTGCCGATCTCTCTTATTGCTGTCTTTGCTGATTTTGAAATTAGCCGATGATTAATAAAATCCAGCTCATATCTGTTGCTTTCGGTGACGTGCACTTCATTAAATCTGTATATGGTGCGGAAAGAGACCGGCTTGTAGCTCATTACAAACCCCAACGCAAACTCCACGTGAGACAGAAAATAAAACTTCTGTCTGTCCAGTGCCATGCGTCGGAATAAGACGAGAGTCAACATCGGGAAGCTTTCAACAAACGGAGAGATCTCCGGTCGTCTCTAGGGCTCAAACGGGTCATAGCCTATACAAAGTGATAACTGAACGTGTTTCCATAATAATTCAATCATAAGTGGATACAGTAAGCACAGGGAGATAGATGGAAACAAAAACCGAAGTTTTCTACTACCCCCGTTTCCCCCTCTCACACAAGTGTGTAATTTACTCGAATGCCTTTCCTTTCATATATTTTAAATGACTTGCAGATTTATTACTGTATTACCTCATTATGACTGTAACAAAAGATGTGTGCCGCACAGTGTGCGGCTGATGCTCCTTAGTTATGAACAGCTCGTGCAAACGTGCGTATGTGTGTGTGTGTGTGTTCCTCCATGAACGCGCACAGCTCTGGTTGCAGTTTCGCTTGTCGCCAGAGGGGGCGTAGTTCTGCAAAAACTCAGAGACTTGCGTTTAGCTCCTTTAAAGGCAGTGTATGCAGGGCAGCTAACTGATGATTATTCATGCCTTTTCACTTTTCCCTGTTGTAATATTTTTTTGTTGTTTGGTTTCATTCAGGTATGTGATGTTGATGAAGCCTGGGCACAAGTATCTGTTGGGGACTGTCATTGATGAAGAACTTCTCTCTCTCTAACTCTCTGTCTACTGCCATCATTGTTGAGAGAGGTATTGTAATGGATAATCTGCAGAACCTGCCTCAGGTAATTTGCATCTATTTTGGTCAGTCTTATGCTTTAAATTTGGATTTCGCAAAAGAAATAAACACTTTTAACTTCATTCAGAAATTGATGCTTGGTTTGGGACAAAACAAACTCCCAACAAAACGGCAATCTCTGAAAAATTACTTTGTCTTTCTTACATTTCTTGGGCTTTAAAGTGCTAGATGCCTAGGCTGAACCATTGGTCACCCAGTATCATGCTATTAGATCATAACGATAAACCCAGGCATAGCCTTTAGCAACTCGCTATCATGGCAAAATGTCATGACCACAACATCATTGCAAGTTTCAAGGCCCAGAAAGGTAGTAAAAACATTGTAAAAATAGTCCATGTGACTACAGTAGTTCAGCCTTAATATTATGAAGCGAGTCTCTTTATCATCTTTATGAGTAATATTATGATCTCTTCTCTTCAATGTCATTCTCCTACACTGTTGATGTAGTGTAAACAGCCCAGTGCTTCTGGGTTCTACGTCAGAGCATAGGCTTATTATTGGCCAGCATCACACATGACTAGCGTTGGCCAATAGTGAGAGAGCGTTCGGAAGAATGAATGTCTGAAGAATGTCTGTAGAACCCAGAAGCACTGGGCTGTTTACACTACATCAACCCATTAGTTGGATTATTTTTATTAATTTGCAATGACGTTGTAGTCAATGGAGGGACCGAAAGCTCTCAGATTTCATCAAAAATATCTTTATTTGTGTTCCGAAGATGAACGAATGTCTTGGGGGTTTGGAGCGAAGTTTTTCGGGTGACTATCCGTTTAAGATGCTGTCGGCATATTCATTTCTAATGTACATGTGTGACAGAGACAGGGTCTCCGAAGTGTTATTGATTAAAGTGATTAATTGTTATTTATTGAATTACTGTTTGTTGAGGATGTGTTAGTCAGGGTATGGTCTCAAATATATTTATTTTTATTCAGATTTTATATTTTAAAAAATATGTTGTTGTACTTAAATGTTTTTGGGTAACACTTACAATAAGGTTAATTAGTTAAACATTTCCTAAAACATTAAAACCAATGATTGTATTGGTTAACATTAGTTAATGCACTGTGAACTAACATGAACATTATTATTAACTAACATTATTTATTACTTAATTTATTAGAGTAAAGCTTACTTGCTATTTTTAAGGCAATCAGTTTGCGTGGTTTTAACAAGTAAACTGGATTGCTTTTGAAGTAAAGTAAACTCAACTAGCATAAATGAGTACATCTAAACTAAATGAAATTAGTTTTAAGTTACTGGAGCTCTCATGTAAGTGTACACTACTAGACATGCACATTCCTATTTCACTTTACTCAGTTTTTTTCAAGGCAATTGGTTTGCATGCTTTTTTCAAGTTTACTAATTGAATTTTACAGCTTTGTTTTAATATGCTTACCAACTGGTGTGATGTGATGCATTGCTGTAATTTTTGTAACAATCGTTTGCTTTCCTTTTGCATTTGGAGTTAATAAAGCAATATTAAGAGCATGTTTGTTGTACCGGATTTATTAAATGTATCTCCGTTTCAGAGCTTATTTTTAGAAATAGTCTCGATTGAGACATCCATGTTAGTTCTTAGTTACTTATTTTAATACTTTAAATACTTATTTTAAACCAAACCTTTCTTTCAAAATAAGCCTGACACTCTTATAATGTATATATATATTCTTAAATCAAGATATTTTAAACCAAACCTTTCCCTAAAAATAAGCCCGAAACCCTTAAAATGTGTATATATATTCTTATATCAAGATCATTTAAACCAAACTTTTCTCTCAAAATAAGCCTGAAACCCTTAAAATGTGTATATATATTCTTATATCAAGATATTTTAAACCAAACCTGTCCCTAAAAATAAGCTCGAAACCCTTACAATGTGTATATATTCTTATATTAAGATAATTTAAATCAAACTTTTCTCTCAAAATAAGCCTGAAACCCTTAAAATGTGTATATATATTCTTGTATCAAGATATTTTCACCAAGAGTATTTACAACTAACCACAAACAAAACAAGAAAAAAATACTAGATTTTACTATTTTTGCATTGGTTTCAAGATATTTTTACTGCTTGAATCAAGTTAACATATCTAAATTTACTTCATTTTTTTCTTGTTTTAAGATTTTAAGAACTTTTTTATCACAAGTTTATTTGTCTTGTTTCAAGAAGTCTTATTAAGTAAAATTTTCTCACCCCATTGGCAGATAATTTTGCTTGTTTTTAGTTTTTTTTTCTTAATTTAATTTTTCTTTCTTATTTTTGTATGTCGATTTTTTGCAGTGTGTGTGTATATGTGTGTGTGTGTGTGTGTGTATGTTTTATGTAATGTTTAATAGGCTACATCAGGTTTTATGGCAAGTATTTTTAAAAACAAGTACTTCTGTACTTTTACTACAGTAAATAAAAAAGTTTTATTGGCCTTAATCGATTCACTTGAGGTCGCTGCTGAAAAGAGAACATGATTAAAATTAAAAATTTTGTAGCGAAGAATCCAATAGTATTTAGTATTTTTTAGCTAAAGTTTTTTTATTAAGAGATTACCGATGCCTGTGTTCCAATGGGCGATTTAATAGGTATTTTTTCACGTCTGCAGTTCGGTTTTTAAATGTAATTACTGTATTGATTGATTGTGTTCTATTTTGTATTGCATTTTTAATTAGGCCTTATTTTTTTTCAATATATTCATTTGATATAACCGTTTGTTTACAACAAACGGGGGATTAATAATCTAACCAATATTGTGTGCAACAAGTTTTTGAGCAATGTTTTGATCATGTGAATAGTTTAGAAGCATTAGAAACTTATGTATCAAATTAGATCTTATAGGGTTACAAACACTGTTCACATACTAAACAGACCACAGCATACCTTTTTTATATTAATTAAAATGTATTTGAAATGGTTTTAAAAAAGTCAGTACAGAACCAGTTGTACACCTCTCTATTTCATTATAGTGTATAACAATAAACAATTAAATACATAGTTAAACTGCCAAGAAAGGTATTCAAGATAATGTTTACATTTGACGATTAAAAAATATTAACGATTAAAAAATCATGATCTAAAACATAATCACAAAGAAACAGATTTCTGAACACCTTCCAACAAAAAGAGGGTAGGTGGGATAAAAAATAAAAATAAATCTGTTATCCATCCATTAATCCATCCATCTTCTTCCGCTTATCCGGGGCGGGATCGCGGGGGCAGCAGTCTAAGCAGAGATGCCCAGATTTCCTTCTCCCTAGACACTTCCTGCAGCTCTTCTGGGGGGGACACCGAGGCGTTCCCAGGCCAGCCGGGAGACATAGTCTCTCCAGCGTGTCCTAGGGCTTCCCCGGGGTCTCCTCCCAGTGGGACATGCCCGGAACACCTCCCCGGGAAGGCGTCCAGGAACCCGAAGCCCGAGCCATCTCCCGTTCCATCCTTCCCTCACTCGTGAACAAAACCCCAAGATATTTAAACTTCTCCACTTGAGGAAGAATCTCTCCTCCAAACTGAATTGGGCCTGCCACCCTTTTCCGACTGAGGACCATGGCCTCGGATTTGGAAGTGCTGATTTTCATCCCAGCCGCTTCACACTCGGTTGCAAACCGTCTCAGTGCATGCTGAAGGTCCTGGTGTGAAGGGGCCAGTAGGACATCATCCGCAAAGAGCAGAGACGAAATCGCGTAATCCCCAAACCAGACACCCTCCGGCACCTGGGTGTGCCTAGAAATTCTGTCCATAAAAATTATGAACAGAACCGGCGACAAAGGGCAGCCCTGCCGGAGTCCAATATGCACCGGGAAGAAGTCTGACTTACTGCCGGCAATGCCAACCAAGCTCCTGCTTCGGTCATACAGGGACAAGACAGCCCTCAGTAAAGGACCCTGGACCCCATACTCCCGGAGCACACTCCACAGGCCACCGCGAGGGACACAGTCGAATGCCTTCTCCAAATCCACAAAACACATGTGGATTGGTTGGGCAAACTCCCATGAACCCTCCAGCACCCCAGAGGGTATAGAGCTGGTCCAGTGTTCCACGGCCCGGACTAAAACCGCACTGCTCCTCCTCAATCTGAGGTTCCACTATCGGCCGTATTCTCCTCTCCAGTACCCTGGCATTGACTTTCCCAGGGAAGCTGAGAAGTGTGATCCCCTTGTAGTTGGAGGTTTGCAAGGTTCTAATATTATCAAAAAAATTAAATCACAAACTCAAACAAAAATAAATGCAATTTGGAAATTTACTGTCTAAACATCTGGGCCCTATACCATGAAGCCAGTTTAGGTGGCTAGCCAGCTATGTTTCAATTCAGTTTGTGCCAACCCTGAGTTTTAGGTACCATGAAAGTGGTTTGGCTTTTAGCAGTGTTCATCGCCATAGCAACTTAAACTCCACGGCTAACCTGGTCTGGGACAGGTTATGTTCCAGGTAAGAGGTTGCAAACCGAACTTGGACCAATCAGCTATGAGCAAAGTGACACATGTCTGACGTGATAAAGTCACTCCACCTGTTTTCACTCCAAATTAAAGGTCACTACACAGCAAATTATTTTAAAAGACAAAATCATGGCTTTTAGTAAATAAATGTGTATGATTTAGAAATTATTTCTGTAATTATTTTACAATCTCACATGTACAATTTCAGTTAATCAATTATGATTACTCAAATTTTAAATGAATACGTATATAAAGGTAATATAAATACCCTTTAGAATCAATAAATGAAGCTATAAAATGACATGTGAGCTTAAATGTTCGATTTTATCTATATCTTTATCAACTGTTTAAACTAACTTCACAGCTTTTACTTGAATTGATATACAATAGTAAGATTTTCTTTTAGTTGTCCTCTTTCATAGACAGCTATTTTCTTCTTGCTGTGTAAATCTGTTTAAATTCTTAATATTTTAACACTTTTATTTAATAAGTGAATTGCGCTACTTCTCTCGCGAGAAATTAATTTCAATGAGTTTTGAATGAGTTTCACTCTTTCTCAGCATGTGTTTGGCTGTTCGCTACTTATGTCACACATAAACTCCTAAACTCAAGATCAAAGCCTGAATTGACAAAGAAAGTTGATGATCAGCATCATGCTACCAACAAAGCCTGGTTGGATTGGTTTGGTTTTGTCAACTCGAAACTAATCATGCAACCCAGAGTTTTGTTCAACTACCATCATGGTACAGGCCCCTGAGGTGACAGAATTATAAACAAAATATATTCACAATATAGCTGATGATCCAGATTGACATGACATCATGGCTTAAAGTCTTTTTTATGTATAGTACACAAAATCTTATACAAATATATATAAAAGTATGCACTCCAGCAAGGACAAAACAACTGAGAATCAGCATAAATGTTGGCATTTGTACACTGTATCTTCTAGCTGGACTCAGAAGCACAGACTTGCTTATAGTACTCCTGCAGCACCTCCAGCTGGGCTGAGCGGGATCAGCACATGAGGCCGGACTGAGGCCAGCATCTTACAGGCTCCTCTGGACCCAACGGTGGTAGCTGTGAAAGGAGAATAAAGGTTAAACCACAGGGCCATAATTACCATAGACATTGAGGCAAACAACTCAACTGTGAATAATGTAGGCTAATTTATAACTGATGAGACAAAGGACAGTAATGGAGCAATTTTTTTACATATTAGAGACCAGATCATGCACTCAATGAAGAATTTGTTATTATGCAGTCAGGTCGGCGGTATTATGTGCCAAAACGGAAAACTAACTATGCTAACTCAATCATTCCTTCTGCCATAAGACTGCTAAACGGAAATTGGTTCTTGCTTTCCACTGCTCTGTTTAGTCAATGGAAGGTGAATGTGTGTGTGTGTGTGTGTGTGTGTGACACTGGTTGGTATACTAGTGAGTAAATATGTGGATGTGAATATTTATTTCTTCTTTTCCTTTTATTCATTGTGTGTTAATGTATTTTAACTATTATGGATGGGTTGGCTGTAAAACTGAATTGCCCCCTTGGGGACTAATAAAGGTATCTGAACTGAACTAAACTGAACTGAACTAACATCAAATGCAGATTATATGTGCTAAAGAAATGTGCAACCACACAATGACAAATATTTTTTTACAGTGGTGACCTATGACACAGAGCTGTTTGTATTGATGCTGCTGGTTTTACTATTGTTCACGATGTAGGACAGGCAGACAGACTGATACCCACCCTGATGAGGTATGCAGCTGCAATAGTCGCACTGCGTGAACGGCCGGCCTTGCAGTGAATATAGACACTACTGCCTTGCTGTCGATGTCTCAAAGTGAAGTCCACACCCTTGTGGATGTGCTCTAGGCTGGGGACACCTGTCAGGTCCACTGTGTCCAGTCTGATCTGCTCAACACCAACAGCTCGCCACTCCTGTTTTTAATATTAAGCATGCACATTGCCATCTGTGATTATAGTTGGGAATGAGTAAAAGAGTTAGGAGAGACACTTACCTCAGCTGAATTGCAGAAATATTTTGTTTCATATTGTTCATTCATGGTAATGACTCCTCTGATTTTCTCTTTTTGGACCAGCTAAAGCCAAATTAGACAAGATAGATAAGTTGAAGCCTTAAAAAGGACTACGATATGAGGCAAATTATAAATGTGCAATGAACATTACAATTAACGTTTGTATGTAATGTCTGTAATTCAAAAATACAGTAAAAGTCAAATCTTACCTCCTCTGTCATTGACCTGAATGGGAGAGCACCAAGAATGACAGTCTGATCTACGCGATTAAACCATTGTCTGGAGGTGACCTTTTCCATGACAACATTGTAAGCGAGTGTGGGATAAAATAAAATCCTTGCTAAAACACTGGACATCGTTCCGAGTGTAAACGAACGAACGAACAAAACGAGTCACAGAAATGTCATTCTAGATCAACTACTCCTACTGCACGCCTACTGCTACTGAGACGCATTTGAAGTTTTTTTCTTCGACGCCTGTCACACATCCTCGACATTGCCCTCTACTGTTTTGGAGTTTAATTGGCTGGATACAGTCAGCAGACGGGATTTGATAGAGTGTTTTCTAGCGACTGCTAGAAACTGATAACCGGACCAATAACACATTAATAATAATAATAATAATTAAACAATATATTGATACATGTATAGTTTATCATGTTGATTAATCGATTCGTTTAAAAAATGCTACAACAGAATTTCTGGTTAAAAGTCCAATAGCATGCAAACTGCATGGATAAAGGCGGACATGGATATGTGCCTGCAGACGTGGTTAATGTACATTTACATTGAGGATACAATGTATTTGTGCTTATTTGGCATTGTGAATCGATTATATTACGCATTCTATAATAAAATAATAATAATACCAAACTGCACAGATATTGAAAGGACAACGTTAACCAGTTACAGTTACATGCATGTTTATCTCCATATCACATGCGCAGGCCTTTTGGGTTTTTATTGACTTCAGCGACCACGTGAGAGCAACGTGTATCTGTCTCTTTAAGAAGGGGGGCGTATTTCAAACAATTCCTTCTTACTTCTGTTTTAAGTATTTATATGGTAATATGTCTATAAAGACTAACATAAATTGTTGTTATACTCACGTCTATCAACGTTTTGTCTCCAAAAGTACATATTTGCCCTCTATATTTTGACAGAGGCTCCACCCCAATCCCCTTTTAATAAATGTGATGGTGCATGCAGGAAAGACAGCCATTTTGCACCGTCCCTGTTTCACCCAGAAAGTAGGTTGTCGTGGGAAGACGTAATCTGAGAAAACGAACTAATTCCCAAATCCCACTAAACAAAGCATTCACCTTTGTCAGCACACCATACCTACTCAGTTCCCTCAGTTTGAGAAAGGGGGCATCGAGGGTAAGTGTTGATTGTTCACGCTTGTAGCTGCGCGAGCTAACTGGTGGTTGTTTACGGTCGCTAGCACGCGTTAACATGCGTCATTATGTAAGAGCAGATCGACCACCGCGCGCCCATAGGGCTCATTTCGGTTAAAGTTGCTGCTTTGGTCAGTAGTACATGCACGGTTGCGTCAAGAGTTATCTAAACCTGTGTAACTTCGGCGCGCTGTCCGAGCTCTTCTGCTAAGTTTAGCATCTCTGAGAAGTGTAACAATGATGCAACGCAATTAAAACGATGCAGGTGATGAGCAGAACTCTCATGGAGCTCGTCCCCTATGTTGTACACGCGGTCTTAACATCGGACGTATTTTTTCACTGCGATCGGTCTGGAAATTAAGTAGCTAACTAACGTTAGAGATTCTGTTGGAAAACGCATGGTCACTCCGCGGCTAAATTCAAATGAACGTAGCAAATAGTTGCAGTGTTAAGTTTTATCACAGTCCGTTACATTCTCCATTTGCAAAAAGCTCATTTTGCAAATAACATGCATCTGTGTGGTTTAATCGCGTGTAGTATCGATCACAGCAAGTTAAGCTAGCGACCCTCCTAGTACTTGCTGCGAATTACTCTACCTGATAGTATAGTCTTTTTAGGGGCTTGTTTCATAGCTAACGTGCTAATAAAATATAAATACAACATGCAGAAGTACTTCTGAGATCATCACATCCAGTGTCTATGTATCTAATTTAATTTGAATCTTGCTCATGTTGCTGCTTATGTCCACAAAGTAGGTCAACACAATGTGTGAAGTTAAATGCAGTGAGAAGCATTCATTTGTGGCCTGCTGGTTTTGAGCACATAGGCCTACTGAACAGAAAGCTGCTGCTGTTCAGGACTGTCACGTGAACTATCACTATCATTTGATAAGAGCTTCACAATGGACTATTGTCCTTTTACTTCCAAGCCAACCCATTATATAGGAATAATGCATTAAACCACTTAACTGTCACCGTCCCACAGGTGGGACGCTTGCCATTATATTTTTTTAAACACATAATATCTTAGAAGAGACCTTAAAGCTTTTTGGAACATGAGTTAAGGAATCTGAATAGTCCTATGTCAGAACTAGTCTGTGTTAATGGCAGTGGTAATCTAATGTGGACTGGACTGTGTTCTTGTTGGGAATGCTTATTATTATGTTAACAGTGTTGTGACCTTCAGTTGAAGTTTGGTATAGAAATGAGTTATGTCTAGAACAGGAGCCTTGTAGGTGGAAGCTTTCCAGGGAAAGGACAACATAGGCTTATAACATGCTATTGAATACACCGCCTAAAGAGCAAGGAGGTCCATTCTGCTTGATGTGATTTTCTTGTAATGGGAACTTTGGTGTGTTTATCTAATTCTGCTGTTTTGATAATGAACTTGATTTCTTTAACCTGGCTGAGATT